CCAACAAACCACATGAAAGAACTCCGTAACGGAGGTTATAACTCAGAAAAAGCAGCTGTAAAGTTTTTAAAGTCTTTGTTCATGTTTTAATTTTTATTGAACTTCGAAGCTTTATCAATATACTACTAAATTATGACAGAAGAAATTCTGAACTGCAAACATAAAAAATATTGACTAAATATGTGTAAATCCAGATAACGGAATTTTTGGACAATAAAATAAACACTATTTTCCAGTAGGAATATTGCCAAGCAAACAGATTATTACATTATTTGACCACTTGATTTGAAAAATAAAAGGATATATCTTGAAAATTAAAGACCTTATCTGATTATAAATTGACCATTTTTTAAAGAAAAGTTGATATACAAATTGCTCTAAAATTGTAACGGAGGTTACACAAACTCGTTTTGAAGATTAAGAGATAAAAATACTTTGTAAAACGTGTCAAACACACTTTAAAAAGAATGTATTTACACAATTAAGAGAAGAACTAAACAGTTTTCTCCTCTTTTTTAGAGCAATTTACCAAAAAGTGTGTTTCGTTACGGAGGTTATTCTGAATATTTACAAAAAGAGTAAACCGAATTTTAGACGTCCTATTGGCTTTACAAACTTATGTCGCTCAGCATTACTAAGGGTCAATCAACTTAATCAAATATTTATTAATATATTATTGTCTTTTTAACTGCAAATGTGAAAGTGAAGATTTAAACTTCTATAACCTCCGTTACAAAATATACAACCTTCGTTTCAAACAATCGGTGTGAATGCGTTTACCTAATTGTGAATTTAAATAAAAAAAAAACAGTTAGAAAACAATATTTATTTGTAAAAAAGGATAAAAAATATTTGTATTAATGTTTTTTAGGCAAATACATTTAAATTAAAAAAAAACAAAACAAATAATTTTAACCTCCGTTACGAAATACCTTACTGAAACTTGTAATAATGAAGTGATTTATTGAATCATTGTGAAGTGACTGTCTCACATCAACATAATTTTTCATGAAAAAACTTATTCAATATATCATATTATATGAAAAATTCACTTAAAACACAAAAATCCATTTTTTGCAGAAAAACCCAACCCCCGTAACATCGCTGGTTTTACGTATAAACGAGTATAATTTTCCTGTACATCGCTGATAGTTCACATAAGGGTGACCTTTTTGTGCCCATACACATCACGGAATATTAGACATTTAATACAAAACGAAAAAAAAAACCACTATCATTTTTATTTGTAATATGCAAAAACATCTTAGTTAAGGCCATTTTTACCATAATATTTTCAAAAATACCTTTATTTTATGCTTTAAACGCATTATGATTTTTATATTCCAATTTGTTGTCAACTTATAGGGTAAACTATTACTGTTATTATCTGGAAGATTTAAACACCTGAAATGATGCACACGTCAGATTTTGTTGAATTTCTGTTACGTAGGTTAGAGGTTACGGAGGTTAGAACCATTAATAATTTCTTTATTTCTGAATTGTTGTTTAAATTTCCTTACATTTGTTTTTGTTTACTAGACATACCCATTGGTGTCAATCAACTGCATTGAAATAGTACTTCACAGAGCCTCTGTTTCTTCACAATCACCGTCACGTAGGTTAGGTTCTTATATGCGACATTATAAAAAATCCACATTTTTAAAAATTTTGAACATGGTTTTATTGATTTGTCTAAAAAAGATTCTGTGCTAAAGTTTTAACATATATTAGACACAAAAACACAGTTTTAGCTGTACTAATGATATATTGTATTATCTTAAAAAATATTCAAACAAAGTTACGGTGGGTTAGGTGAAAGGCGACAGCGATGATCAAAGGTTTGTTTAAAAATCGTTATTCATTTATCAATGAAAGTTTCATTTATTTGATTTTGACATGTTTCTTCATTAATTAAAACAATTTTTGTTTGTTTAGAACAAAATGCGAACAGGTAATGCACATTCAAACTGCAAGGTATACTATGGCGACATCGCCTTTTACACAATTCCGGGCTTCCTTTTGTGTAAATACTCGGAGAAAAAATATCAAAAAATATACCAGCTAATGTTTTTTTGTGTGACAAAATATGTTAACATAAAGGGTCAAGGAATAATTTGAATATCAGTAACCATAGCTTTGAAATGTATTGGCGACATAGCGTTTTTTCATTTGTATGAATTATACGGGAATGACTGAACAATGGAAGCGAGAAGTTTGTTTTGACACGTTTTTTGATAAATTTAGTGTGAGCACACGTTTGTCGGCTCTTCTCCTTTTAATATAACATTATTTTGTTCAATATAAAACTACAGTTTTCTTAAGAACAGCCGACAAACATGTGCTGACTATGTATTCAGACGATGAAAAACGCGTGACCCTGATTATCTATTGATATTCAAGAAATATTCAGGCACCATGCCTTCGATATTCATTTAGTTTACCCAGAAAAGAGCGTTTCAAATTCACATCCTTACCATGAATACACGGTTAAGATATTGGGGGTTAATGTGATGGAAAAAAATGAACATTTTATGAAATTTAAATTCACAGCATTTTTTCTGAGGCCTATTATTTTTTCTGGGGCCTATTTATTTTTAACTTCCAATTTTTTAATATAAAATTCAGTGAAAAACATTTAATTCCCAGAGATGCCAAATATTAAATTAACGAGATATACTTTGACTCTATAACGCTCATATGAAATGCACTGCTTTCTAAACCATTGATAGAATTAGGTCCATAGGACATGACTTCCCCGCCAAGGGTCAGGTGTTTTTGAACTTTAAACATCTATCGCAATGGTCAATATAATGGTGGCGAGGAGGACGGTGGTCGGAAAGAAACGTCTGTCGCAAGGGTCGGAGGCGCTCCTAGTGGCCTTATCTGGTTGATCCTGCCAGTAGTCATATGCATGTCTCAAAGACTAAGCCATGCAAGTCTTAAGTACAATATTGTCAATCTCCTTGCGCATTCTTGGCCATTAGAATCTGTCCATCACCAATGCTGTGGTTTTTTTTCTCTACCTGGATTTCCCATTCTGTCATGTAGAAAGTCCAGTAAAATAGGAATGACTTCTGGAGAAACAAGAACCTGTTGATATTTCTTATCATCATCAGTGTGATGGTCGATTCACTCCACTTGCTAATTACTCTTGGATATGTGCCCTGACCTCTTCAATCATGGCTGGTGGAATTCTCATATACTTCTGCTTAAATCGTCTTTCATCATACAAGTCAATCGGATGTTTAGCCATATCTGTTGTTCCAATATCTGTTGAGCAGGTTGTAAATATGTCCAAAAATTCTGAGATCGGGAGATCGGTTGTTTACAATGATGTTGTTCTTCTGTAGTCACCGATGGTGAAATCCTGATCTTGTCATAGATGTTCTATAGAACAGGGATGATGGTTGTCTCAGGCACCATGATGTTTAATATCTGGACAGGCTGAAGTTTACACAAAACTGCTCGTGGTGGAACTGCAACGGTCCTTGTGGTAACATTACAAATCTCCACAGGTATAGTAGTGCTGGACTCATGGTCATACAGATGGAGTGATGAAGTGATATCAAGATCGGAACGGATAATGGATTTCATTTTAGCATGAAACAAGGCAAGGACTCTGCGATATGGCAACTTCTTATCCACGTATCCTTGGATCGTCACTGTTCCATTGGGAGGAATACTCACTCGTTCTGTAGATACAGACTTGATAAGACAAAGTCTATTGCTGTGTCGCTGTAAGTCTCTCTGCCTCAAAGCCTTATACTTGAAAGCTAGATACCATAAAGTTTGTAGTTGAGCATCTTGAAGATATCTCGATCCGAACTTATCTCTGGGGATATCCATGAAGCGGCTAATATTGTAAGTACCAATAAGAAAAGGTACTCTAGCATTATAATTACTGTTAGGTACAATTAAAGCAAGCAACAATCATTCAAAACATCATGAGGTGTACCATAAGGCTTAACGCTAACAGATATAGAGCCTGAGTAGGGCATATGTTGTCCATCTGCACCTTCAATATGCAGTAATTCATCAAGAGGATGAATCTCAATATGAGATAAATACTGGTCATAAAACTCGGAACTGATGGTAGACACTGTAACACGTGTCAATGAGTGCTGGGTAAGTGACCTGCTCGATCTCAATGTTTACCTTCTAAGACATTCCAACTATTGCCTCCTTGTCGCTGGGCCTCCCTTTGATCTGGCCTGATCCTCGATCCCAGGATTCGGCCTGTTGAAGTTTAAATGAGCATGTCTCCTCTGATGATCTAACCTGACTCTACATCCAGTTGCTAGATGACCATCTGATGGCATCTGAAACAACCAATCTTGCCTTTTCGTTGATATCTCGTTGGAATGGACATGCTCTAAAAACTTGAAGCTGGTCACTCATTCGGTAAATGTAGGCCAGATTCAGCATCCGAAGCAAGGCTGGTAGTGTCCATCCCTAGATGCATCATCCATGCAAGTTTGGTTCAGGCAGGGCTTCTAGTTATACTTGAAATGGACTTGCTCCTTAAACCTGGGACGCCGACACTAACGCTGGGGTTTAGCATAAGCTCATCTCGACTTCGCGTACTTAAAGGAATAAATGTGCATAACTCTGCACGTTTGCATATCGTATAAAACTTGATTCTGTCACATTTACACTTATAGATTTTATCTGTGATATTCTACCTGTTGGAATTTTTTAATTATTACATTTTAATTACATGTATATATTGGAAATTTCTACACTGTTTATTAAACTATTAAAAAAAAAATATGGAAATAAACATTTTTAAGACATAATTTATAACGTTTAAAAACAAAATGAATAACGGTTTTCCGGTATGCAATATATTTGTATAGAAAATTAAATGGTTTTCCAAATATAATTTTCGCGCACAAAACATCCATTTAATGTAAAATTAGCATTTTAATACACTCTACATGTGTAAGCATTTATTTCTAAAACATTTGATAAATGTCAGTATAATAAATGAATTACCGGTATGTATTCTCTTGCACTTAAATTCGTAAATGTATAACCTAACAAAAGGCCCAGGGGCCACATCAATCACCTGAGTACTGTGGTTAGGTAAAAAGCAAAAATCAGTTTAGTATAATTAAAAAGCTTAAATGCATGAGAGGTCCCGACCTACTCCTAAAGAGCAGAAGGGGTAAGGGGGAGGGGGTATAATTTGAACAACTTTAATCTAAACTCTCTGATGATGCATCCAAATAAAATGACAAACCATGGCTTTGCTGTTCTTGAGAAGAAAATTTTTCCTTTATTCTCCTAATATGTTAAACTTGTATCGTCCATCGTGGCTCCACCCAACCCAGGGGGTCAAGATTTTGAACAAACTTGAATCTACACTATCTGTTGATGCTTTCAATTGATAAATATGAACAATTGTGGCTTTGGTGTTTTTGAGAAAAAGATATTTGAAGAGTGTTCCTATGTACTCCTATGCTAAACTTTCATTGTCCATTGGGGCTTCACACTTCCCCCAAGGGTCATGATTTGAACAAACTTGAACTACACTACCTGTGAAATCTTTCACATAGATTTGACACAAATGGCTTTAATGTTCTTAAGAAGAGGATTTTTAAAGATTTTCCCCTATATATTCCTACATGTATGTTAAACTTTGATCATCCATTGTGACCCCACCCCTCCCACGGGTGGTCATAATTTAAACAACTTGAACTACACAACCCGAGGATGCTTCCATATAAATATGACTAATAATGACTTCACTGTTCTTGAGAAGAAAAGTTTTTCCTTATATATTCCTATGTTAAACTTTGATCAGCCATTAAGGCCCTGCCCTACCCCAGGGGATCATGTTTTGAACAAACTTGATTTTACACCACCTGAGGATGCTTCCATATAAATTTCACGATGGCTTTGTTGTTCTTGAGATGAAGGTTTTTGAAGATATTTTCCCTATATATTCCTGTGTAAAACTTTGATCAGCCCTTGTGGCCTCGCCCTACCCGGGGGGTCATGATTTGAACAAATTTGAATCTTCACTACCTGAGGACGCTTCCAGATGAGTTTCATTTTACCTGGCCCAATGGTTCTGGAGATTTTAAAAAGATACCATTAATTTTTTATTAATTCATAATTATCTCCTTTTGGAAGAGGGCTTGGCCCTTCATTTAAACAGACTTGAATCCCCTTCACCCAAGGATACTTTGTGGCAAGTTTGGTTGAAATTGGCCCAGTGATTCCTGAGATGAAAATGTGAAAAGTTAATGACAACGACGCCAACAAAAACAACAACAGCAGCAAATTTTGATCAGAGAAGCTCACTTGAGCCTTCGGCTCAGGTGAGCTAAAAAACCAGGCTTATGTCACTTTTCCATTCTAAGTTGATTTAGTCATTTTTTCTCCCGAAGTGAAGACGATATCTTTGGACAATTTGTGTACTATACACGGAACATTTGTATATTTCTTAGCACCGAAGTAAGTCCTTGATGTCATCAGTTCTGTGACATGCCTTAGAACCTCCAGAAAATTGGTATCATTATTCTCCAGTTTTCCATTTCCATAAAAATGTTCCACGGACTGGTACAGATTTTTCAGTAGGTAGCTTCCCATGTCTTCGTTTCTTACACCATAATGACCTGATTAATTAAACGAAAGATAATTACATGTGATCACAGAGTGTCCCGACGCTGAAATATTTTCTCATTCAAAGATTTTTTATTTAATTAAAGTTAAAATCAGAAGAACATATATTTTTTTGTTAAATAGTAGTTGTCCTTTAATCTCAACCTTGTGGCGAGGCAAACATAACGAGCATGTCATTGTGACAGGGAACTGTTGTTATAACGTTCTTCTCCTGTGACAAACGGACTGCTTGAGGATGGTGTGCAACATCTCCTGACCCGAGACTATTTGCCTGAACTCCAATGTCAGGATTAAGCTTTTTTCCTGAAATGTAAAACAAATCTTCTCAGAATCTACTTGTAAGACATTGCATGTAGAGTTTATAAATCTTCTTGTAAGATAATTTTGTAAAGAGTATTAAATCTGATTGTAAAAGACTTTTAAAAGGTATTGAATTGCATAAGTAATAACAAGAGGCCCATGGGCCATATCGCTCACCTAAGCACCATGGCTAGGAAAAGTAGAAATTGGTTTATTATTGAAAAATTTAAATCCAAAAGTAGTCCCATGACCAATCATGACTTTGCTATTCTTGAGAAGAAATTCTTAAAAATTTCCCTATATATTTCTATGCAAAAAATTTGGTTGGCCATTTTGGCCCCGCCCTACCCCTTGGGGTCATGATTTGAATAAATTTGAATATACACTACCTGATGATGCTTCCATGTAAATATGACCAATTATAGTTTTGCTTTTCTTGAGAAGAAGATTTTTAAAGACTTTTCCTACATAGTTCTATGTAAAACTTTGGTCGGCCATTATGGTCCAACCCTCCCCCCAGGGTCATGATTTGAACAAACTTGAATACACACTTCCTGAGGAAGCTTCCATATAAGTATGGTCAATTTTGGCTTTGTTATTTTTGAGAAGAAGATTTTCAAAGAATTTTCCTATATATTCCTATGTAAATCTTTGGTCGGCCATTGTGGCCCCGTCCTAACCCTCCCCCCCCCCCCCCCCCCCCCCCACACACACACACATGGGTCATAATTCGAACAAACCTGAATCTACACTACCTGAGGATGCTTCCATACAAGTTTTAGCTTTTCTGGCATAGTGGTTCTTGAGAAGAAGATTTTTAAAGAATTTTCCTATATCTTTCAATTTAAAACTTTGGTCGGCCATTGTGTCCCCACCCTACCCTCGGGGGTCATGACTTGAAAAAACTTGAATCTACTCTACCTGAGGATGCCTCCATATAAGTTTCATTTTTCATGGCACAGTGGTTTTTGAGAAGAATTTTCCTATATATTTCTATGTAAAACTTTGGTCGGCAATTGTGGCCCCCGCCCCGGGGGTCATGATTTGAACAAACCTGAATATACACTTCCTGAACATGCTTCCATATAAGTTTCATCTTTCCTGGCACAGTGGTTTTTGAGAAGAGGATTTTTAAAGAATTTTCCTATATATTTCTATGTAAAACTTTGGTCAGCCATTGTGGCCCCGTCCTACCCCCGGGGGTCATGATTTAAACAAACTTGAATTTACACTACCAGAGGATGCTTCCAAATAAGATTCAGCTTTTCTGGGATAATGGTTCTTGGGAAGAAGATTTTTAAAAAAAATTCTTATATCTTTCTATGTAAAACTTTAGTCGGCCATCGTGGCCCCGCCTTACCCCCGGGGGACATGATTTGAACAAACTTGAATCTACACTACCTGAGGATGCTTCCATATAAGTTTCATCTTTCCTGGCACAGTCAGATGCCACCAAATTTTTATTAATTCAAAATTATCTCCCCTTGAATTAAGGCATGGCCCTTCATTTGAACAAACTTGAATCCCCTTTACCCAAGGATGCTTTGTGGCAAGTTTGGTTGAAATTGGCCAAGCGGTTCTTGAGAAGAATTCGGTAGTGGTATTCTGTAAAATATAGAGAAAGTATAGATTTCAGAGAAATGAGATTACATTGTACATTGAAACATGCCTGATCGGACATGCAACGAGACACAGATTTTAAGTCAGAATAGACAACGTGTCGTTTCAAATATAATTGTAGATAAAATAGAAAATAGTAAAGTAGGGTTGTAATAAAGGTAAGAATTTCGGTGAAATATATTACATAGGTGTTGAATAAGGCAGTTTTAACAGTACTATATTTCTCTTGCAGAATATTTTTATTAAAATATCTCAAGAATTAAAAACCTTGAGAATGATGATTGATCTTACTGCCACCACAAGATCCTTTTCCTACATCGCTTTGTTGATCAACATTGATTCCGTGATCAAATCCACCCCCAGGTTTAGATGCATCAGTCAATGAATTTCTACATGCCTGGTAAAAGAATAAAGTCACCCTTTCATCTGATGTACAACAGATCAAAACATGTCATGGTAGGTAAAGGTGTCGTGTTTTCAATTTTTTCCTAAATTATCAAAGTGGGTAAAGATATAAATTGAAACAGAAAAGCTAATTATTGCATTTACAATTACACAGGTAGCTATAAAAATATTTATGCTAGAAAAAAAAATACTACGTAGCTAAGTATGCAATAGAGAAAAAAAATATAGTTCAAATCTTCATTATTTGTTAGAATAAAAAGACTGGAGTTTTGAAAAGTGGATTGAACCTTGGAACTTTTCCTCTAGGAAATGTATTCATCAAAAGGTAACTTTTTGCAAAAGTATTCCTTCAAAAGTAGTTAAACTCAACTCAAAGAACGTTATGAAATCTAAAATATATGTACCTAAAACCCAAATGAAAGGTCTCACATGGAATACGAAAGTAAAATAAAAAAAGCCCTATAATCAATCATTCGGAAGTTATAGAGTCGTCGCGATGCCTCAGTCGGTAGAGTTCTCACTGCGGGATAGGAACACCGCCAGTTCGAATAAAATAGCTAGCAATTTTTCCATCTCCAGGCTCTCATCACTTTGAAGTGAAAATTGTTGGTCCTTCGGATGAGACCTTAAAAATCAAGGACTAGTGTCTCTGCAGAGGTTGGTACGATAAAGATCCTTCGCTGCTTAAAGGCCCTGAGTGTCGAATAAAGGTCTGAATTTGAAGTCCTTCACCTGTGTATGGTGACGTCTCTACTTGAATGAAAAATTCTAAAATGGGACGTAAAACAACAATCAATCAATAAATTAATCAGCAGTTATGGTCATATGATCAAACTTCAAGGTCATGAGGTAAAGAAATGTTGTTACACAAAGGAATGTCGCAAGGAATGCATAATTATGTAAAATATAAAAGCCCTTTCACCAACAATTCAGAGGTTATGGCTATAAGGTTACGCATTTCCAATTTTAACGTAGTCAAACTTCCTGGTCAAAGTAATGAGGTCAAAAATGTTATTCCAAGAAAGGTCTTGTCAAAAGAAAACACATGTGAAATTAATATGAAAGTCCTAGCTTCAACTATGCCAACGTTATAGCCAAGCTAAATTTGTTTTTTAAAGGAAGTTGAACTCTAAGGTTACGTTCATTAGGTCAGGCAGTATACAAGTGAAAAAAGAAAACCTTGGCACCAACTGTTTGAAAATTATAACGAAGATAAATGTTTTGCGGACAAACAAACAAAAAAGCCAAAAACTAAATGCCCCGAATCTTTGATTACGAATCTTTTGACTATTAAAACATACACAGTCTACTAGAGAACAAGTATTCTGGGAGCGTTGATTACTAAGCAATACTAGTTCTCAACTAAGGATGTGTTTTTGTTTGAAAAAAGGTGTGGAAAAGTAAGTGGATAGATTGTAGTCTGACAAGGAACAGGACAGATAAGCACGAAAGCTATTTTCTTTCCGATTTCAACGGTAGGAGACTGATTTATGTATTTTTGGTTATTGTTACAGCATCTAACATCTAAAATAACGAATTTTAAGTAGTCAAAAACACAATAGGATTACTACCGTTCACGGTAGCTCAGTCGGTAGAGCGCTCGCTCCGTGATCGGGAGGTCGTTAGTTCGTATCTCGGCCGCGACTGACCTAGTCGTTAAAATGGGTAGTAACTGTTCCTTCGCCATGCGCTCGGCACTTTGAAGTGAAAGTTGCGGGTCCTTCGGATGAGACCTTAAAAATCGAGGCCCCGTGTCAGCGGCAGGCGTTGGCACGATAAAGATCCATCACTGCTCAATGGCCCTGAGTGCCGAGTAAAGGTCATAATTTGAAGCCCTTCACCGGCATACGGTGACGTCTCCATATGAGTGAAAAATTCTCGAGAGGGACGTTAAACAATATACAATCAATCTATAGGTTTACAAGCATTTTGAAATCACGAAAGCGATTATTTTATTGTTATTACACCTGTATAAGCAGCAAAATTTTCTTTCAAATCAGAAAAATAGATCCATAGTTCTTTATAAATGTAATCTTCTTGAATTCGTAGTATAAATTTTTATCAAACCAAATAAAACATCCTTTAAAATTTTGGAAAAAAATCACCTGAATAAAGAACAGCTTGGGTTTGCCTCTCAGTGCTTTACACTTTTGATAGCTGAAGTACTCTAGTATTTGACCGGTACTGTAATACTCTCCATCAAACATCTGGACGGCGTGATCCCGAACCGTGAATCCTCTCGCTTTGTCAGCTTCTTCTTGTTCATGCCCATGGGTACTTATAGCAAAAACAAAACAGTCGAAATCCTTCTCCGCTAGAACTCTGGAAGCTAGAAATATAAATACAATATGACAAGACTGTAGGAAAACCAATATGTATGGCAGGGGATGCTCACTCCTCCATGACACCCGATCCCACCGGAGTCTCTGTTGTTTTGGAGGTCCGTGTTTGCACAGCTCCATTTTGTAATAATTAATGGACTTTAAACCCGATTACAGTTCTATTACTGTTCTATATCTCCACGTTGTTCATGTAGACTAACTGTTGTGCAAATAATGAAATCTGATTTATACCACCCATTCCTTAATTAGGTTACACCTCTACACATGACATCATAACTCATTTAATTATACGCCCGGATCGATAGATCCAGGGCGTGTATTGTTTTTGTCCTGTCAGTCTGTCTTTCTGTCTGTCTGTTTGTTTGTTTGTCTCGAACTTCTAACCTTCACCATAACTTTTGAAGGAGGGAAGAAACTTCATATTTGGTATGCATAATCCACTAATTAAGCTCTTTCAAATGACACCAAGGTCAATGACCTTGTGACCTTAAATGTTGCCTATATGCTAAAAATAGCTTTTTTCTGCAAACTTTAATCTTCGCCATAACTTTTGAACCATGAAAGATAGAGACTTCATATTTGGTATGTGTAATCCACTAATTACGTTCTTCCAAATGACATTAAGGTCAATGACCTTGTGACCTTGACTGAGACCTATATGCTAAAAATAGCTTTTTGAACCCTCACTATGAGTTTTGAACCATGAGAGATTGAGATTCCATATTTTGTATGCATACTCCACCAATCAAGCTCTTTCAAATCACAGCCAAGGTCAATGATCTTGTGACCTTGACTGTGACCTCAATGCTAAAAATAGCTATTTCCGAACTTTTTTGCCGCCGGGCGCATAGTGTTTCACAAACACATTTTGTTTTTGAAATGATATAGATTGATAACTCATTGGATTTTTGAAATTATTCAAATTGATGAATTTCAGTATTTGACAACTTTGAAAAAGACTTAGCATTGGATTATAACAATGCATGTCTATAACTTGGCTCAAAACTTGTTACAAAAATTTTATGGTGAATATTAACTTACTTACTATCACTCAAAATTCTTTCAAATTCTGATGTGCATAAATTTTTGTAAGAATCTACTTGAAATCCTAATAGTTTGAATGTATTTTCCATGAATTCCACATCTTTCATAGCTCCTTTTCTCTCTTTTGTGAGACGTCCAGGTATGGTAAAATTTGTTACA